TTATAGGACTAACATATAAAATAATGACCCCCTAGGACCCTTTTTCTACAAAAAAAATGAATTTTTTCTACGGGTGGGGGTCATTTTTTGTCGTTGAAAAATGACCCCCCGGTCATTATTCGATGGGGGTCATTATTCGTCTTTACAACCCCTACCCTTTTCTAAAAAGTGATACGAGTTAGCTGGTAAACAACATCAGAAATTTGCAAATTTATTATATTATTGTATTTTTTTTTAAATTATAATCTACGGGATACATGCTTACTTGTGTCTAAAAAAAGGATAATTTACAAAGTATATGTAAATTTGTAATCAGTGATGTGATTAAATCGGCCGGTGTAAAGACGAATAATGACCCCCATCGAATAATGACCGGGGGTCATTTTTCGACAGCGAAAAATGACCCCCGGTCATTATTCGACGTAGAAAAATGACCCTTTTGCCCGTAGAAAAAGTGTCATCACCCTAAAAATTTGCAGAACCCACGTGAAGAAAAATGACCCCCGTAGAAAAATGACCCCCTGCAGATTAAAGCTAAAATTTTTAGGGGGCAAAAAAAATTAGATAAAGAAGCATATTGGCCAAAATGCTCACCTGAGCGATGATATGTTGATCTCATAACATTATACAATTATAGCTATATTTTAAGGTCAATGCAATGATTCAGAATCTAAAGGAGTAAAAGATTTATCAAGCCTTAAGGGTTAGGTAAACATTGTTTTTTGATGGTGGAAATCATCGAACTGACAGAAAAAAATCAGCAGTATTATATATTATTATATCATCCGCTTGAAAAGCGGAGGGTATATAGTGATCGGGATGTCCGTCCGTCCGTCTGTTACGCTTTGAGGTATCCATCTCTTATCCGCAAATCCTCATATATAAAAAAATGTGTTTGTGAAACAGCTATGCCCCTGTATGGCAACATAGCGAAGATAAAAATTTTCTTAAATGCATTTTAAATATATTGTTACCCAAAGTAGGGTCTTCTCACAAGAAATACAACTGCAAAATAGGTAAGCCCTTGTTCACCAATTGTTCAAAAGTAATGGCTAAGGATAAGTTTTTGAAAGGTAGGTCAAACTCAAAGGTCAAAGTTGATGATTTCTTAAGAAAATGTTTGATGTAAAAAGGATTACATATGTGAAGTATGAATACCCTAGCCCTTACCTTTCAAATGTTATGGCCAAGGTAAAAAAAAAAATCATAAGTACGGAAACTCCAAAGTCAAAAGGACAAAGTTTTTAGTATCCAATGAAAGGTAATGCCAAAAAAACTACATATTTGAAGTATGAGAGTACTAGTATCTACCGTTTAAAAGTTATTGCCAAAGTAAAAATTTGGCATTTTTGTGTAAAATGGGACAAACTAAAAGGTAAAGGTCAAAAGGTCAAATTTGGTGGTACCCAACGTAAGGTCTTGTCACAAGGAATACACATATTAAATATGAAAGTCATAGCTCCAATAAATGAAAAGTTATGGTCAAGATTAAGGTTTTTGCGGACAAACAAACCCCAGATAGACAGACGGACATACAGATGAACACGATAAAACTATATACCCAGAATCTTCGATTACGGGGAAATAAAAAGAAATGGTCTTCAATTAACTTTTCATATTATGATACATTATAAAGAAGACGTTACAACAATGAAAATATTTATTCTGATTTTCATATTAAATTCTATGAAAATATATTCAGAACTGAGTAAAAGGGTGGGTAAAAAAAATGAAGAATTAAGGTAGAACCTATGTCGGAAAAGTATTTGTCACAAGATTTTCAAACTTTTCAAAATGATAAATTAGTACTTGCTTATCAATCAGTTAAAATATCATGATATGTTTCCTTGTTAAATAATCTAGAACAGGCTGTGACACTTGGTATGGTATTTACATACTGCGATTTCACATTTTCAAATATTTTTAGGGGTACTTGTCATAAAGGGAACATGAAAAATTACAAAAATACTTCTTCAAACATCGTCGTTTATAAACTTTATTAACTGAATAATGGAGTTTATGAAGAGACTTACTTTTACAATTGACGACTGACTTTTACAATTTAAACATAGACAAACTCCAATCACGAAAATGTAAAAGTCAGCTGTCAAATGTAAAAGTAAGTCTCTTCATAAAACTCCATTATTAAACAATATGTTATCAAGAATAATTTCTTTTTTATTCAATTAACATAAAAGATAAGTCCACCATTAAAAAAAAAATAGTCAAATGAACTCTATTATTTTGAGTCAATTATGCACCCTACATTTGTAAATATTTTTTAGAAGTCTTTGTCACAATGTTTTCAATCTTTAATATGATGAAGAACATAGCCAAATGATTACAAAAAGTGATTAAAATATATAACTTTCCCCTCTAACTAATGAAAGATAGGCTATTTACCGATACTAATATTCTTGACCTTTTTGCACTGACACGGGATTTAATAATTAAATGACTGATTGGGGTTACTTTCAGATTAAATATTTATCAGAAATTGTACCTTTACTTTAAAAAGATCATATTAAATAGAAAAATTGAAATTAAACACCAAGAATATGAATAGGTAACAAATAATTGTTAAAAGGAATGCACATCATTTCATTATAGATATCACAAAAGAGTACACACGATCAAACGATCTACAACACGTACATCTTTGACTTTCAGGGTTAGGGTTTCATCAAGACATTACACTATATAGCTGGCAACTAAAGATTTCTTACGATTTATGCATTCCTTCAAAATGGTTACATACCATTCAAATTATTTCGAAAGTTGTATGTACATTGTAATTTCATTACACTAGATAGTCTTGGGTTTGTCAACTTCAGATCTAGATCTAGTAAAAAAAAGGTGCCCACATATTTTCTCTTATTCCAGAAATATATTGCCATTAAGCATTATAAACCAAATATATTTAAATCTAATTAAGATTATGTTGGCATGATTGAATTCTGTGAATTTCAAAATGCAGTATTTTCTACCATTTCTATTGAAGCTGTCAAGTACGGGAAAAAGTGGCATTGAATTAATTATGACGTCTTAATGGGTTAGCACAGGTTTAACACATTTACCAGTTATGATGTCATACGAAGTATGTTCTACGTTAAAAGAAATGTAATGAATACTGTGTGCTAAATCAAAAGTTTATGTCTACATGTATATTTTTTGCATTAGTGGAATGCTGTGTATTTAACACTAGCCCATAGCTTTACAGAGCATATTTTTAGGTCTTATACTTACCCCATCCCCTTTCTTATTTAGGAGGAAGTCGATATTGAACAAAAGCAAAAAAAAAATCCTACCTTTATTTTTCTATAAGGAGGTACTTAAAATAAGCTTAAAATAATCTACTATTCTGCTAATTTTCAACTGTTACTTTGCGGCAATACTTTCAAGTATACCCCCACCAACATTTAAAGTATGCTTCAATCATGGTGAAGTAAATTATGATAGTACTTGTTTGAAAGCTTAACTTCATTTCAATATTTTATCTAGAGCCTCTTTCAGTATTATTGAATGGTATAGAGTTTTATTTATATTTTTGCTTTTCATTGATTATTTTTTTGTTTGTTTTGATTTAACGTTATGTTCTTTTTTTTGGGGGGGGGATAAAAATTCCCTCCTCTTTCATTGTCAAATAGGATTTGCCAAACTTAAACATGCTAAAAGTTAAAATGACGGAAAATTTAATTTTTCCTATTAAGAGTATTTAAACCTGATTTTTGCATGGTTTGATTTCTAAAAACAAGTGGAATATCATTCTTTAAGCAAACATTATAAGGAGGAATATTAAAAAGAAATTTCATTTACTTGACAATTAAAGAATCTCTTTTCAAACACAATTTTAGCATTGAAAGACTACGTGAATCTCTTAATTATTTCATACGACTTTTTGTATTTTTCTGGTTACAGAAAATTTAAAAATTAGTTTCGCTGTAAAAAAGATATCAGAGTGTATATTTTGTATCACTTTAATGGGGGTCATTTTTCAATGGGGGTCATTATTCTATAGGACTACATATAAATTAATGACCCCCTAGGACTCTTTTTCTACAAAAAATGATTTTTTTTCTACGGGTGGGGGTCATTTTTTGTCGTTGAAAAATGACCCCCCGGTCATTATTCGATGGGGGTCATTATTCGTCTTTACACCGGAAGATGAATTTTGGATGTCAGTTGAGTGTGATGTACCAACTTGATGTGGTCAGAGCTAAAGAATTCGAAGGGTATGATAAAGAAACAGCGCCCAGGCCCTGCGGCTGTGACCCAATATATACTCTTAAACAGGTGTAAAACCGAATGTTTCAAATCACACTTAGAAATTCTTTCTCCGTAAACAGACTTTCCGGGCCACCTATAGCGTCATGCGAATTTGATTGACAGGTGACGCACGACGGTTTCAGAACAATGTGCAAATTGGCTGAATATGAAACCAAAGTTGTGGAAAATAAAAATCATTAGAATTATCAATTGTGGCTTTCTGAAAATAAAAACAAAGGGTTCAATATAACTAATTTTTTTCACAGATGTACATGTACATGTATGTAACACTGACCGGGTTGCATGAGTCTCTCTCTCTCTGATATTGTTTTTTTTTACACACTTTGCAAGAAAGAATAACTTCTATAAAAATAAATTCTTACACTGAAAGGATTTTAAAATTATAAATATAACACATTACGAAAAGAATGTTTTCCGTAACTCGTTGTACTGATTTCGTATTTTTGCTGTCGATTCTCGGATCTTAATCCAGAATAACTCAAGATGAACAAAATATATGTATTTTAATTAATCTTTATTTATTACATGAGCACACGCGCGAGATTAAATGATTCATTTAGAGTTCTATTCAAAGTTTTAATTCTATAAAGAAATTTTATATTTGTTAAAGTGAACGAATAGTTTAACAAATATAAAATTTTACTGAAATGTTTGTCGAAAGTTTAAAAATAAGTTTAATTTAGGTTTCAAACACAAAATTTTAGTAAGTAGAAATGGGAAGGAAGAGTTATTTTTCACCGCTTGATCCGTATGCAACCGACTTGAAGGTCAGTTTAACTGTCGCTGGACAGTGTTCTACAGAGCAGATCGGAAATATAGATAAATTAATGTCATAGTTTACAATAAAATTGACAAATTTTGTTTAGCAAGCATTGCAATCTTAACCTCCGAGATTTTCCCCTCAATGTTAAATTCTTTGTTACCGATGTTGGACAAATTGTATTTTGTTTTAGGCCTATTTTATGTGTTTTGTTGCATTTTATTCACCACACCACTTCCTCAAACAATAGCTTTGATTTGAACAAACTGAAAATAATTTTTATTTAATTGTTTTAATATTTGCTTTAGAATCCTCCCTACACTGCTCACTAACAGATCTGATTCTGCAGTATTTGTATTGCAATTAGAGTATACACCTATATCTAAAGTAAACCCCCAAAAATAAATCTACAGTGCTTTATTCAATTTGTAATGAATTCAAGCATTTGTAAGATTTAAATAGGCCAAGATAAATTAAAAAAGTATTTTATGCAAGTGTTTTTCTCAAATAAGTTAACAATATATAGTTATTTCTACTCATTTGTATTCATCATCTTTATTTTCCTGTGGGATTATGCAAGGTATCCTATACTGAAAATGAAATGGATATGCTCAAAATTTCCACCTTCATGCATTAAATTTTTTCAATGTCTAACAATATTTTGCTTGAGTTCCAGTATATAGAGGGTCCTTAAATTAAGATCATAAACAGAAAACAAATTTGATTAAAAAATTTAGATGTTTAACTTTTCACATAAAGTTAAAAATTAACTTATACGGTAAATGTTTTTATATTTGCAAGTATTTTCCCAAGATGAATCTATTTTAGAGCAAATATGTATGTTCAGCGACATGACAAAAGAATTCCCATAATTTCTTTTGAAATTAAAGAGGAATTCGATGAAATACTGAAGAAAAAGTATCCATGGTGAGCACTGTGACCCGCTGGCCTCTTGTATTCTAAGGAGGATATGTTTGAATATTTCATGGTTGATTTATGTAGTGAATCGTGCATTTTCAGGAGCAATAAAGTTTAAACTTTTTGATATTAATATTAGAGTGTAATGGAGGACAATATGGTCAGGACTGCGGCCTAACATGTGGAGCCTGATTTGGTGGTGACAGACAATGCCACCACCTGAGTGGTTCCTGTATGGAGGGGTGGGCGGCTGGCTTTAGAGGGCAGATTTGTAAAACGAGTACGTCACGAAGAATTTTAAATTATATACAGCGTATTACAGAAAAAATCTTATGCTTAACTTGTAGATAAGGATAATTTCTTTGACGAAATATAAAACAGACACCATATGTAATTTTGATTTGATAAAATCAATTATAGCAGCAATTTTATTTTCATGTTGTACAACTAAATGAAAACAATGGAAGACATTTCTTTAATTGAAAGGTAGACAAACATGAACCAAAAACGATGTAAAGAAATTGATTTTTAATGTCAATTTACAAAACTTCAGAATATTTTTATGAAAAAATCAATTACAAGATCCTGCTTATTCCTTCAATTATTTTAAAGAATGTTTACCGGGCACATTTGATAGAAACTGTAAAGGGAATTGCTCTCAGAATTGTGGAAAACCAGGATAATGTTATGCAAGAACGGGGGCGTGTGAAGGGGGGTGCCAGCCCGGCTGGGAGGGGCCACAATGTGAGAGGGGTAACAGTTTTGAAACAGATTTTACTTGGAAATGGTACATTGGTGTGGGGTTCTTTTTACTTCTTATTTATACAATTTATAACTTTTTCCATTCCATAGTTTGCAAAAGGAAGTACGGTGAGAAGTGTTCCAAAGTGTGTAAATTTTGTCGGAATTCTGCCTGTGATCCTGTGGATGGATTCTGTCTACAGGGATGTACCGAGGGTTATCAGGGACCTCTCTGCAACGAAGGTAACTTATCCGTTATACCAAATGTACAATATATCTGTGTTCTGTGCAGAAACATATGGAGATAACGAACAGTATTTAAGATCATTAAAGTCCCTAAAACAATTACGAAATAGGAGTAGAGCGAACAAGGGCCTCCAAAACATCAGAGGAGGGATCAGGTGCCATGGAGGAGTGAGCATTCCATGCTGACCGGACACACCTGCCTTGTGCTCCTTGTCATGATCGGGTAATAACGGAACAAAATCCGTCCTCAATTCAGTGAAAAAATAATGGACTACCAATTAGTATGAAAAACGTAAGTCTCGGTTATGTTCAAGTAAGAAAGTCCCCACATGAACATACGATAAACTCAGCAGTTTGTAATCAATATCTTATTAATTCATGTCTAATACGTTTCTTTCTCTTTTTTATTTAAGTTATTTTAATTCATTTTCCCGACGTACGGTTTATTCTTATAACTTTTAACTTTTTCAAATTTATCTTTCTGACACAAGCTTTGTTTTAGTATGTAATGCTGGATTTTATGGCAATAATTGTAAAAAAGAGTGCAGCCTCTTCTGCAAGACATCACGTGACTACCATCACGTGACCGGAAATTGTAAAGACAGATGTATAGGAGGGTGGCGGAATGCAGAGTGTTTGCAAAGTACGTATCTTATCCTAGCTATAAAACGATACTAAACGATTTTTTATGAACACATCATGGAAATATTTTGTAAAAGCTTTGTACATTGCGCAGTTTATAGTTGAAGTTTTAAAAAAACATATTGTAATTGCATAGTAATGTGATGTAATATGTAATGGTTTTGTGCAGTTGTAGAAACAGAAGTATGGCACTCCAGATTTAATGGTGTTCTTGCAGGCCTGTGCCTAAGCATAGGAACGATCTCGGGATTAATATTCTACATATATATGATTAAGTAGGTTTATCGTTTTATATATCTTATAATAAAATTTTTAAGTATTTTACGATCTGATCCATTTTATTCTATTTCTGGCGATATAGATAAAGCATTTTTTATATAAATTTTGACAGTATTCAATTTTTTTTAAAAATACTGTCAAAATAAAGTAAATAGAAATGTTTGATTTCAGTTCATTATAAAAATATCTGTTAAAAGTATTTGAAAACTTTATTGTAAAGGTTTTCTCTACTGATTTTCTTTTTTTTCTGCAGAAAAAAGTACCGTAAAAAAAAGAGAGCAAAATACGGCATCTAATGCGGGACCTATCAACATTATTTCTAGTGAAGCTGGCGAAGCCGGGGAAGATGCAAGAAAACATTACTCGTATCATAAGCTTGCCCAATCGCCGATTTTATCAGATTTATAAATGCTGCTATTCTTCTCAATCTAACGTGTCTCAAAGTAACATGTGTTTACTTTTAAAAACTTCATTGATTATATCAGAGACATACAACATGACAAATTGAAAAATATCAAAACTAGTGAGGAGCACATGGCGGGTGTGACAGATTGGGGATGCTCACTCCTCCATGGCACCTGATCCTACCTTTGATGCTTTGGACTATGTGTTTGGTCTGCTCATATTTTGTATTCTTTTAAAAGCTATTGATCTTGAATAATGATCATTACCTCTATATATTTCAAATATATTATTAAAAATGTACTGTTATTTATCTATATGCGCGTAAAACTCAACAGTAGTGTAAAGGGTCATCAAAAATAAGAAAATCATACAAAGCAGTTTTATAATATACTCAAAGCATTCCTTGTTAATCTTTACATATGTGTTAAGTTTTTGAAGCATAACCTCGGTATACTCATTTTTAAGGATCCCCAAACATGTACCGAGGAATAGCACTTCCTAAGACAAATTAATGAATAAGCCTCCTTTTAATTATTTTATAGCGTTTTAGAATTAAAAAAAATGAATGAGATCTTGCGAATGTGGGGATAGCTAAACTCTCCTTTCTTTATTCAAAATGTTCTCCATTTTTTAAATGTTTATTGGCATATCAACGTTTTCATGTCCAAGAAAATTACCTTCGGGCGGTAATTGGTCTTTCCTCATGGTAAACAAAAACTGCTTATTAATAACATTCCTTGGTACAATTATTACCAATAATGCTAAGGCCAAAATAAAAAAAATACCTTTGTTTTCCCCTAACGCGACCAGCCCAATTAAATCGTGCTTACTGAAAAGATTTATTTAATAAGATGCTTCAAAAATATTTTTTTATTGTTAACCAAGTTTTATAAAATACAATTTCATCAAAATCAGTTTTTATCAGAACGGTCGACATTGTTCTACTGTGATTTTCAAGCATTTGTTGGAAACAAAATGGTGCCCAGATGTGATTTCAGAGAATAAGGTCTTCATAAAACAACGGCGAGGGGCCCATCTAGTGAACACGTCATTTAATTTCACTGCAATTCATTTAATTTGAGTTTTGAACTAATAACTAGTTCATCTATATGTTCCTATGTTTACTATATGCCATTATGGAACCATAGGAGTTGTTGTAAATATGTCTACATATTCTTCCTGATAAATATAATTCAGATGTCCTTTCTTCATGCCTTTATTTATGGGTTAAACTTTTTGACTGTGATATTGTATATAGCATTTTATCATTTGTAGATTCCGTTTGGTGAAATTAAATATTGTTTACATACTCTATACATATACATGTAGTTTTGAAATCATGATTCAGCTTCCTGAGACGTTCAGTGTATTAATACTAACTCAAAAGAACAATGAATTTTTTTTTATAGTTGTCTGAGTTAGTCTAAATAACGGATTTTTTCTTGAAAACCCCAAATTCCAATGATCAGAATAATACGCTGTTTTTATATCTAAGGACAAAACTAATACCCTGGCTGGAAATATTTTAAGCCAAAATTTAAGTGTTATTTATATTTCAAGTCTGTATCAGAAAATTTCATTGAAAGCAACAGGAGTCCATAAAACCTGCAGGAAACGAAATTGATAACTTGAGTTATATTGGGTAAGTAGGAAATTCAACATTTTGACCGAATTTGATTCAGTAAGAAAGTTTCCATATTTCCTAAGCAGAGTTACACATCATGATATAACTGAGATGTGTCTGAAATATTATATTCACTTGTCAAATTAGAATTGTAGATGTCTGAGCTTGACCCCCAATACTTATCGAGAGGAAGCTCCTTATCTACCCACAGTCTTTGCACCTGAGGTTAAATCTGTGACTTCACACTAGCATACACATTATAAGCAGAAAGGAATATACGCCACCGACAATGGACTGCATTAGAAGCTCACAAACGTAAGTTTTAATGACAAGACTAAAAACAATTCCTCATTCATCTGAATCAGTGTAATAAATGTAATTTGTTGATAGTTAAATTGGTTTATCTTTTTACACCACTGACTTTTTCAGTTATAAACTTCACTATATAAAAAAAAATAAATGATTTAGTTAACTTTGTTGAAAAATAACTGATTCAGTTAAGGAATTTTTTTTTTATTTTATGATTTACACGTATGTATATAAAAGAATATAAAAAAAATATTTAATTAAGAGAAAATATACCGATACACTGTCAACATTTCTTTTTAATAAAACATAATAATTTATTAAGCTTATCAATTATGAAAATTATATAATAGATTTACAGAAGTGAATTATTAATTATAATTATTAATATAATTATACAAGAATATAAATTTCACTTTAATCATTCTCAGTACTAAAGCAATACAACACATGTCAGAGTCGATGTTTGTGGGACTGTGTCGTGAAGTCGGGACCTCACAAGTGGTGGCCATGAGGAGAGATGTGATGGACATCTGGGAGATGGTGGCAACACGTGATGAGGACAGACAGATGGTGAGTGGAAGTCGCAGAGAAGGACTCAGACTGAAAGGATCAGATATAGACATAATGTTCTGGCAAAATGATCATCGCGTGATCTCGGACTTATCTCAGTCTCAGTATTACAACACACACAGACAAACACTGATCCCCTGTGACTGTTCTGATAGTCCACCAGGATTCACTTTGTTATATTTACTGTCACCAAGCATGAACAGACACATCCGCGAAGCTTGTGTTAGAATGAATAACAGATATTATATATCTAGTTCTAAATGCAGACAGATCGCTTTATTATCTCAGTCATTACTACCTTATAGCCTCTCTCCACATGGACCCTGTGTCAGTGGAACATATGCAACACTAGAATTTGATCTTGCCCACTGTTTTGTCAGTGACTTTTGGCCTCCCTCTGCCTTCCCATGGATTGACAGATGTCACTCATGGCCCCAGCCTCATGTTGTTGATGATATAGTGAAAAATGGATGTCACTTTGTAGCAATTGGACATAAGCTAGGAAATCATGAAGATCATGAATGGAGAATTTCTTTCTCCAAAGCAGAACAAAAACTTGTGTTTGCAATGAATCACTGTCAATTCTTAACCTACGGCTTACTTAAATTGATCTTAACAGAAATAGCTATTAATGGAGAAGGTGAGGATGATAAATTACTGTGTTCCTATCATATGAAGACAGTACTTTTCTGGGTGATTCAACAAAATACAATACCTCAGTGGTGTCCACAAAATCTCCTGGGGGGTTTTTGGGTCTGTTTCAAACTCATCCTCAAATGGGTGTATGAAGGGGTTTGTCCTAACTTTTTCATTCCAGGCAACAACATGTTTCTAGGTAAAATTCATGGCGTCAAACAACATCAATTATTTATAAGACTGTCAGAGTTGTATGAGAAGGGTTTAGCATTCCTGCTACATAGCCCCTCCATTAGATCTTGTATCATAGATGTCCTACATAACCCCAGAAACTCCATCTGTACAGATGATCATACTTTGATTTCTGAGGTTTGGTTTGATATAAATCTATTTGCTGAAATACAACATTATAACATAGAACCAAAAAAAATGGACACACAAAGGAGAAGTCTACATACAATAGAACAGATGATAGGTTCAGCCCTCCTGACACGGTATCAAGTCATTATGCTACAGAAACTTACTGCTTGTGTCCTTCAGAACACTGCTTTTATGTTACACATGGAAACGTACATATCTGACAACAAACTGAGGTATAGAGCTGACAAAATGTCCTGTTACATGCTGAAATTAGCAGCCAAATTTAGTTGTATCACAGACATGATGTACATAGCCATGTATTATTACAAGACACTTAGATACATGGAAGCTTTATCTATTATAGAGATGTCCAAGGTCAAGTTAGCACAGCCATATGTGATGCATGGGTCAAATGTAGATCCAGAGATGTATACTGAGGCTGTAGGGGGGCAGTCCTGGTCTACAAAGATGAGACAGGCTGTAGCAAAAAATATCACACTTAACAATGAAATCCATTACATCAGTGAACTGATACCTGAACAACAGAGTGCTATACAGAAAAGAAGTTGGTATTGTTATACATGCTAGAGATTTTGTGCTACAGACATGTAGACACATTGCGAGCACAAACAGCTCTAGATGATCTACAAACCCTAGTTCGTAATGATCAGGGACTGTTTATACATTTACTTCTTAGAGACATATCGTGGCAGATTCTGGGGATCTGTCAACAGGTGACAGGGAACCTCCAGGCTGCTCTATACTCCTACCAACAATCTCTCAGACA